AGTGTCCTGTGACTGGGAGCCATGCTTCATCCTCACATGGCAGGAAGCAGAAGGGCAGGAGAGAAAGGACCTCCCCTTCAGCCTCAAACCCCATCTACAAGGTCCCTAATACCATCCATGAGCATTCTACCCTCATGCATCACCTCTTTTTCTTGTTGGTTCCTTTGGGTTTCTGTTTGTTTGTTTGGGTTCACACAGTTTATTCAGAAGTTTAAAAATTAAAATGTGGGCATTTCCCCCTAAAACAAACCACCCCCTATGACTCCCAGAACACAGATGCTACACCCTAGCAAAACACATGTGAGTCAGCATCTCAACTGTTTTTTTAATATTTATTAGTTGTAGTTGGACACATGTGGTGCTGAGGATTGAGCCCAGGGCCCCCGCATGTGCTAGGCGAGCGCTCTACCATTGAGCAACAGTCCCAGCCCCCCTCAACTGTTTGACAATACATAGAAACTACAAAGTTACACAAAATAATTTCATTTACATCCTTTCACTAACAGGCTATGAATGAAAGATTAAGGGATAAACATGCTACCTTCATCCAGATCAAGACTTCTCTAACATTCTTTTTTTTTCATCAACTAAGATGTTAAAATCCAAGCAGTTTCACTTATGACTGTACCTCTAATCTCATACTCTTCTCTTCTGAATGTCTAAGCTGGGGCAGAGTTCCCTTTCAAAGCTGACCTTCTCAACCTTGAGACTGAAGAAAGCAGTCTCCCAGCTGGAGCATGGCCATGATGCTTTACAACAGGCCAAGTCACCACGCAGGTGCAAATGATGCTTCAACAGTTATCAAAATTTAAAACCAGCTGGGCACAGTGAAGCACACCTGTAATCCCAGGGGCTAAGGACGCTGAGGAAGGAGGATCTCGAGTTCAAAGCCAGCCTCAGCAAAAGCAAGACACTAAGCAACTCAGTGAGACATATCTCTAAATAAAAATACAAAATAGAGCTGAGGATGTGGCTCAGTGGTTAACTGCCCTGAGTTCAAACCCCAGTGCCAAAAAACAAAAAACAAAAAAACCATTAAAACCAAAATGAGCAATGCATTAATATGGAACTTCCACATTTTTGGATGCAGCAAAAGTCCTCTGAAGGTGGCAGAACTGTGACAGAAAAGGCACTTTGTGCTAAATTTCAAAGGATCGCTTGTGAGAAAATGCCACAGAAGAGAAGACCAGTCAGTCTAAGCCACAGATGACCTTTTAGGGTGGGGGAAGTATGCACCAGAAAGGCATCAACAAAGGAAAAATTTGTAATCATGATTCCAAATCATGATTTGGAAAAATGGCTGCTTAAATTTAGGAGAGGGAAACACCAAGAGAGAAGACAAAATGATTGCACCAGGGATCAAGGAGTGAACTTCACAGGGATTTATCAGCCAGCTATGCACTTTCTATTGAGCTGGAATCTTCACCACTTCCAAGGAGGTTCTGCACACTTCGCAAGAGAGGAACCCTAGCCAGCGCTTTCCTTGCTGTGATCCCAGAATACACTGAGTTCCGGCTAGCAGCACTTACAGGTATGGCTAGTTCATAGCAGCATCCGTCTTAGGGATTTCCTGATACAGCCTGAAGACAATGTGAGGGTTTCCACCTGATCCAGAACTCCTTGGCAATGCCCAGTGGCTTTGGGGGCCTTCTAAGAGCAACAACAGATCAAGCTAGCTATTGTTCTCCCATCAACACTCAGAAGATCAGCATGAATCTTTAGATGGATGGGAAAAGGGAGATAAATCAGTGGTCTGAGGGTCTTTATTTTAGTACCATCAAGTGCACCATGAATGGACGCTAAGAAAAGCCTAAAAAGTTCAAGGCTGAAGTATAGGGAGAAACTATCATCGCTGTCCAGTGGGAAGGTGGGTCATTTCCCTCAGTCAGAATGTTGGCTGCTGAGACTGTCATTATTGCTTTATTTTCTTGGTACTATAGAACTTTTACTGTAAAGAAAAAAGAAATGCTTGGTGGGCAGAGAAATGTGTCACCATATATCAGGAATGGGCTGATATTTAGGGAATGTATATTAGAATCTCAATAATGTTGAATGATGGCTGCTTTCCCCTTTATTCTGATGAATTTGGGGAAATAGTAATTATTTTTGGGCGTATCAGTGTTTGTCATATTAGTGCAGTTCAATACCTGAGGTAACTAACTTATGCTTTAAGAGATTTATTCAGGTCACAGTTTGGGAGGGTCCAAAGCCTGTACCTGTATCATCTCAGTTCTCATGAGGAGAGTGGATGGTGGCCTGCCATGGTGTGAGCATGTGGCAGAGCTGACCTATTACATCACCATCAGCAGAGAGAGATTGGAGACCATGCCTCCAAATCCTTCTGTGGCCTAAGGACCTCCCACTGGGCCCCAGCCCTTCAAAGTCCACAGCATCTGCAATACCACTACACTGAAGAAGAAGATGTTATGTAGGACCTGTGGGCGGCACACAGACCTATATCAAACCACGGCAGAGAGCATGCATGTGCAAGTGTGTCAGTGTCTGTGGGCATTTATTTGTCCATCCAGTCCGCAATTTTTTTGAGATAAGGTCTTACAAATGACAGAGATGTGCAGGTAACATGTTTTGAAAGATCCTTCAAGCTTTTCCAACAAGAGTACAGGGGAAAGTTTACTCAGTCCCCATTTTCCCAGGGCCCCAGGGACTCTGACAGAGATGAATATGTCATCAATGATTCATGTGTCTCTCCTGAAAAAAAAAAATTATGCAAATACTTTCATCATTGCTCCACTAAGAAGGAGCACTGGAAAGCAACAGGAGACAGGAGCAGAGGAAAACATTTCTGTTCTTCAGCTTTCTGGGGTGTTGTCAACAGGGGCTGATGGGAGGCTTGACTGGGAAGACAAAATCCTCAGGCAGGGTACAATGGCTCCTGAGCTCTTCTCTCCTTCAGTCTCTGCCACATCCAGGACCTAGACATCTGTGCAGTCCATTGTGCTCAGAAACCTTATACCCAGTTGATGCTCAGACCATTCCTTAGCTACTCAGTGAGGATCCAAGAGCAGTACAGTATGGTGTCCCCCCGCCTGCCCCCCGTGTGTGGCCTAGTGCAGAGCACAGGAAACTCAGTTCCCAGACCAGACATCCTGCTTCAAGTTGAGCTGGGGAAGGAGAGTTGAATTTTTTTAATTAAAATTTTATTTTTATAGGTTTTAAAATGTCACAGTGGTTATTTTATACTATTATGGCAATAATCAGTCACGGAAAATGTTTTAAGGCAAAATCATAAAGATGTAAAACCACCTTTCATCTCCACTGACATATGCTCATAGACTTGAGTGAAGGGGCCCCTGGAGCTGCCCTATATAGCAGTGCTGAGTTCCCCACTTGTTTTCTGTACATGTGTTTTGGTTTTGTTTTTGTTGTTGTTGTTGTTTTAGTAGCAAATCCCCAAACTAATCCACAAATCCAATGCAATTCTATCATATTCCCAACAAGTTTCATTGGAGAAATTGACAAACAGAGTCCAAATTTGATATGCAAATACAAAAGGGCAAGAATAGCCAGGGTATTCTTGAAGAAACAAAGGTAGAACATTAAAAGTGACAATAATTAAGACCTGCCTATATTGGTGCAAAAACAAAAGGGCCAATGGAACAGGCCCCATAAATAGAAACATCTGATTTACAAATAAAGGGGCATCATAAAACAATGCAGAAAGGACTTTTGTAAATAAGGAGTGCTGTGGAAACTGTACATTCTTTTTAAAAGAAAACTGTAAGAATAAAAGTAAAAGTAAGATCAAAGATACTTCATAGCGTACACACAAAACAACCCCATTGGATGTAAATGTGTAAAGCCAAATGGGAAGTTGCCACAGGTACACAGCAGAAAATATGCCTTAACCAGATAGAGGTCTGCTTCTGCCCTCAGCTTCTGGGAGGTGACCCCTAGGCCCCTGCAATGTCCTACCTGGGAAGAGCATCTCTGTTTACCTGGAGTCCGTGGCCACCAGATAGTAATACCTTTATAATGAGAGTTTTGGGTCACCAGTATCTGCTCCACCTCCAGGCTGACCACCAGCCACATGACAGTCACCACAAGGCTCCATGATGATCTCCAGACACTACTCAGGGAGATTCTTCATGGAGATACTTGATGTGTGTTGTCACAAAGTGATGTTTTCTGTGTTTGTATGCAGGACTACATAGCTGCACTCAAACAAGATGAAATATTTTGAATCTTACATTTAAAAACTTTATTATGATAAAGCAACTTTATATGATATTTCACACTCATTTACACACTGATTTTTGTCAACCAAATATGTAGTACAAGAAAAAATATATATAACCACTCCTGTTGGTATCTCTGTCTTTTTCCTACTGGGGTTGAACCCAGGGCCTGGTACGAGCTAGTTCAGGCTCTACCACTGAGTTACATCCCCAGATCCCTTTTGTGTTTTATTCTTTCATTGCAAATAAAGTCTGATTAATAATCTTATATCTAAAGATCCCTCTATATTTTGCCTTTTGTTTTAAAATCATAGATTTCTTGAATAGACATGGGATCAAATTGTCTCTCATAGTTACACACCAACACACGTTCATCCAACCATCTATCTAGATATCCATTCAGTCCAGATTCATTGAGTCCCTATTCTATACTAGGATTATTCCAGATGCTGGGGATACAGGTGGTGACAACTAGACTAGCTCCCTACCTAAGGAACACATACTTCAGAGATACAGTCTGACAACCAAAAAATAAAAATTATTCAACACAGTGATAATTACTATTGAGAAATATGTGCCTGGTCCACAAGACTGTCAGTGGCAAAAATGCCAGGGACCCTATTTTAGAGAGTTTGGTGTTAGAAACCATATCTGAGAACTTGGTATCTACGCACATAGCAGCCCTGGGTGATGTGAGGAGGGAACCTTAAATGTTTCTTTAAGGGGATCTTTCTAACTCTGCTGATATGGTGAATATTGTTGTCCCAATCCACAGAGAAAGGGACACATGTGTGGTGAGCCGCTTCTGCTGTTTCTGCAGACTATGGTCGCCATTACAACATGGCGCTGGCTCCGCTGTGGTCTGTGACAAACAACTCCTTATCTAGGAAAGTTGGCACATGATTTTTCACCACCCTGTGAGAAAGCTCCACGCGGCAGCTTTGCATTGGGGCTTGGGATGCTTTATTAAGGCTGGGAGGGGCATCCGAGAGAGAGAAGAAGAAATATCAAGGGCCTGAATAAACTGCTGAAAGAAGATTCCTGAGTTGCGTCTTCCTTGCGGGCAAGGGGTCGCGACAAGTGGTGCCGAGACCCGGGAACCAGAACTTTCAGCAGTCAGGGGTGGTGCACCGGTTAGTCCCAGGTAAGTGGGATCCGCGACCAAAGCGGGGTTAGTCCCAATAAGTGGGATCCGCGACCAAAGCGGGGTTAGTCCCAGGTAAGTGGGATCCGCGACCAAAGCGGGGCAGCTCCTCTGTAAAGAAAGAGAGAGCATTACATTTTATTGCAGCTGCACTGTGTACTTTCGCTTTTGTTTTCTGTGTTTCTTTTGTTGTGTCATTTCGCTTTTGTTTTTTGTGCTTCTTTTGTTGTTGTGACGACAGGGACGCTCCCCTGTAAAAGGAAGAGAGCGGGGAATTCATAGAACGGAACGCTCCCCTGTAAAAGGAAGAGAGCGGGGACTTTTGTACTTTCACTTTCTTTATAGCTCTAAAAACATTATGGGCGTTGCTTCTTCAAGCCCAATTTTGTTGGCCCTAGATGGGTTGTTACATTCAAAAGGACTTAAGATAAAGCAGAGTACTTTGCAGATGTTTTTAAGAGAAGCTGATATAGCGGCTCCTTGGTTTGCTTTTTCAGGGAGTCTTACGATTCCTAGCTGGGACAAATTAGGGAAAGATCTAGATTTCGCTCATGAGCAAGGTACCTTGCAGGGTGGCATTATACCACTTTGGAAGTTAGTTAGAGGATGTATAACAGATGGTAAATGCCAGGAAGCTGTAAGTGAGGGTCAAGCTATTCTTGAGCAGCTGCATGAGGAAAAATCTGAAGGATCATGTAGTGAAGTGGCAGAGAGTATTAAAAGTAACAGTAGTGAGAAGGCAAAAGAGCCTGAAGATAAAAATAGGAGAAGGCTCTACCCAGACTTGACCGAATTAAAAACGCCTGAGAACACAAGCGACTCAGAGAGTTCTGAGGACCTTGATATATTGTTACAACAACTACATAAGATAAAAACGAAAAAGAAGAAAAAGGAGACACAGGGCACGCAGGCCTACTGTAAGAAGGGGAAGGGAGTTAACATCGGTCAACAAAACTCTGAGGAGGAGGAGGTAGAATATCTAGAAGAAGATATGGTGCCGATTGCCCCACCTCCGTTTGTGGGGGGGAGCCAAGGTTCCGGGAGATCTTTTCATGCACAAGTTTGGAGGACAGTTAATACAGATATGGGACTTGCATACCCTGTATTTCAGGACAATAACAGGGGAAGATATCATGAGCCTTTAGACTTTAAGATAATTAAAACCTTGGCAGAATCTGTCCGCACTTATGGCATAGATGCCGCTTTCACTCTCACTCAGGTGGAGGGACTTACTAGATTTTGCATGATTCCCTCAGATTGGGATAGTCTAGTCTGCGCTTGTGTTTCCCCAGGGAAATATTAGGAGTCCAAAGTTGGCTGTTTAATGTTTCTGGCAGTACCCAAGACTCGGAGAGAGGTAGGAGGCTTAAAATTTCTGCAAATAATTCACAATTATCTAATGCTACATTACCCTCCGCAGCAGTCCGTCTCCAATCTCCGTTCCTGTTTCTTTTGGCTAATGTTACATTACAGGGGATGCTTAATTGTTCTAATATTACCTGTTATTTGTCTGAGTGTTGGAATGGCTCCTGGACTACGGCAATGGTTATGAAATTTCCAACCTTTGTCCCGATCCCAGTTACTGCAGATCCAGAATCCTTTCCTATTGTTGAACTGATTAGAGCCCGTAGAGATTTTGGAATTACGGCAGCTATAGTGACAGCTGTGGTGGTGTCTGCTGCTGCAGCAGTTACAGCTGGAGTAGCCATGGCCAGCCAGGTTCAAACTGCTGCCACTATTAATCAGGTTATTCAACAAACATCCACCATACTTGAATCTCAAAGTAGAATTAATCAACATATTTTATCTGGGATTCTGGCTGCTAATCAAAGGATAGATCTGCTTCAAGCTCAAGTTGAGGAATTGTCTGACCTAGTACATTTGGGTTGTGTTGACCAACGTGCACATTTATGTATAACCTCTGTCAGATTTTATGATTCCAGAAATGCCTCCCGCATCATCGGGGAATATTTATCCGGAACCTGGTCCATGGAAGCAGAAAACTTGATCCAGTCTCAACTAACTCAGATTGCTGTTTTGAATAGTACCCGTGTCGATCCCGTGACTTTGGGTCAATTCACCGATTGGATATCTTCTGCTTTTTCCTTCTTCAAAGAGTGGGTGGGGGTAGGCATTTTTGGTGCAATGTGTTGCTTCAGTGTTGTACTCTGTTTGTGGCTTCTCTGTCGCCTTAAGGCCCACAGTGCTCACGATAAGGCTATGATCATACAAGCTCTTGCAGCTTTAGAAAATGGCAACTCACCTCAAGTCTGGCTTGTGCATCTTAAGCAGTAAACCTTTGTCATGGTCGTTACACCCCAAGTTATTATAACATTGCACTGGGATCGACATGACTTTCCTTGTTATTCTCTTAGTGTTGGAAAGCCCTTGCACTCTGCCAGTCTTACTGCCATTGCACGCAGATGGGTTTCCACACTAGTACTTTTCTATCGCCTTGAAGTCTGTGCCTTTCTTTCAGGGTGCTGTCAACTTGTTTGTCCTTATAAGCAGCCACAGTTCAGCCTCAGCTGTCCCCCTTCGTCCACCATCGTTACGATACAGGATGCGAGGCAAGGCACTGCACTTGAGTGATCCTTGACGTGGACCTCAAGGAGAGCATGTCCTATTGCATGCGGGTTAGACGCGTTCACGCCCCGCCCCACGAAAAAAGGCGTCGGCTGATATGGCTTCAGATCTGGGGAAGGCGCCTCCTTAGGACTGAGCCATACTATGCAGCCACTTCTGCACAGTGGGATAGGACTTCTACTCTCGCCTGTATTGTTTTAAGAAAACAGAAAAGGGGGAACACTGTGGTGAGCCGCTTCTGCTGTTTCTGCAGACTATGGTTGCCATTACAACATGGCGCTGGCTCCGCTGTGGTCTGTGACAAACAACTCCTTATCTAGGAAAGTTGGCACATGATTTTTCACCACCCTGTGAGAAAGCTCCACGCGGCAGCTTTGCATTGGGGCTTGGGATGCTTTATTAAGGCTGGGAGGGGCATCCGAGAGAGAGAAGAAGAAATATCAAGGGCCTGAATAAACTGCTGAAAGAAGATTCCTGAGTTGCGTCTTCCTTGCGGGCAAGGGGTCGCGACACACGTGCAACATCAACTCCTGCAGCAGAGCCAAGGTGGTAGGTTTCCTAGTGGCCAGGTGAAGGACTATGACCCTCCACTTACACACACACACACACACACACACACACAGGGGATGGGGAGAGGGGGCTGCCCTCAAGGGTGGGAACCTCAGGTTCAGGTCTTCTCTCAAGGGTCTTTGTTTCTCTTTGTCCTGAACTTTGAGGGTCTTTGCGCTCCAGTAGGAGAAAGCCTTTGAAGAAGTGGAGAGAACCTCAGGAGCTGGGTGTGCAGAGGGAAAAGGAGGAGGCAGTACAGACAGGGGAGTGGGGCTGGTCCAAGGGCCAGGGGAGCCCAGGCAGGAGGAGGCTGCTGGCTGCAGGACTGGAGCCCAGAGCCTCAAAGCTGGAGTCTTGGTACCTGTCACCTGAGGGAGGAAGAGGGCCACTGGCCCTTCTACCTGCTAGAAACATAGAGGGATAGCATTTGGCTTTTTAATTTTGGTTTTTATAAATGCACCAGAGTGGAAGATAAGGAGCATATGTTTCAAGTGTCATTTTTTCAAATGACATCTTTTACAGTCTGCTCCCAGTGTGAACTAATCAGTAATCCCTAGGAAAAGAGAGCAAGGTATGGTGGGGGACACCAAGAGACATCTTGAGATAACCCCTATCTGCAACCACCACCCCTCCCAGGACCATTTGGTCCCCTCCAAAGTCAACCATCAGTAAAAGAAGGAGGGATCCGGTGGACTTTAGCTCTCTCCCCCTCATCCTTCCTCTGCTATTGCCCGAGCTCCCTTCTCTCCTCTGTGACCGCAATCCCCCTAGAGCTCAGTGCCAGAGGCTCTAGGGCTGGAATTCTCTTTCCTCCTCAGACTTGGGAAGCAATTCTGAGACTTCTGTCCTTCCAGGTGACTGCCACTTGTGGAGACTGAGAGCCTTGCCCAGCTGAATTCGCATTGCCCAAATGTTCTTGAAACTACTTATATGACAGATTCAGTCCCATTTTTTACATTTGCTCATTTAACAGTTTGCAAGGGAAAATTATGGCCCAAAGAAGGAGATATGCTGGGACTTTGTCCATGACATGTGGACAGTATGGCAATACAAGTCTCAAACGTGTTTTGAGTAAAAATGTGACAGGGTCCCTTGCACCTCCACTGGGTTTTTCTTTCCCCCACCCACTATTGACAGGAGGCAGACCATCTGCAGCCTCCTTTGCACTCTATTTTGTGTTTTGGGCCATATTTGTTACATGTCTGTCTACTAAAATAGTATCCCATTCAGGGCTGGGGTGTAGCTCAGGGTAGAGCATTTGCCTGGCAGCGTGAGGCACAGGGTTTTATCCCCAGTACTGCAGAAATAAATTTAAAAAAATAAAAGTATCATTCTCAAAAGCAATTGAGGGATGGTCCATGCTATGAAAACATGAAGTCTAGTCCTAAGACAGAGCTTCTGGTGTTGGGTTACAATCAATATTTTGTCCTTTACAATCAGTATTTTCTTGAGTTTGGGGCTTAGTTTCTCATAATTTAAACAGATAACATTCTTTGCCTGGCACCTCTTCCAAATCCGATTTTATGCTAGAACATACAATTCCAGCATTTCAGAGAAGGCAAAAGGCACCAAGTTTTCCCAGTCCCTGGAGATGCCTCTGTCAAACCATCAGTGGAAAATCATCCAGGTTTTCCCTCTTTAATAATACACACTATGTACATGGTAGTATTATAATCCAGTATTTTCCTAACCTTTTAAGGAGCCTAGAATATGTTGGGCACCTCTTCTTTTTAATATTTATTTTTTAATTGTAGTTGGACACAAAACCTTTATTTTGTTTACTTATTTTTATGTGATGTTGAGAATTGAACCCAGGGCCTCACACATGCTAGGGAATCACACTACCACTGAGCCACAACCCAGAGGGCACCATTTTTAATAGCAATCCATTACAATATATTTTGCTCATTTTAATGGCTACCTAGAATTTTATTGCATAGATTTTCTTTGGGGGATGATGGGAATGTTCTTCTTCTTTATTCCCTGGTGGTAACACAAGAATGCATGAGTACCCAGACTCAAGGAGCTGTACATTTCAAATACATGCATTTTATAGTATGTAAACTATAGATTATTGAAGTTGATTTAAGAAAGTTGGCACCCCCTTGAAATTTGTATTTTGGTTCTGTATAAAGAAAATAAAACAAACCCATGTTCTTAAGAGATAGACCCAGACAAATCTGGAGGTAAAGAGTTATGGTGGGCTGGGCCTGGTGGTGAACACCTGAACAATCCCAGCAGCTCAGAAGGCTGAGGCAGGGGAATCACAGGTTCGAAGCCAGCATGAGCAACTTAGAGAGGCCCTAACCAATTTAATGAGACCGTGTCTCTAAATAAAAATATTAAAAAAGGCTGGGTGATGTGGCTCAGTTGTTAAATGCCCTGGGTTCAATCCCAAGTTTAAAAAAAAAAAAAGAATTATGGTGTTTGTAACTTATTGTGCAAAGGTGCAGCAATCTCATTACAGCCATGTTTATATGGGGGTGGGAGAGTGAGAACAGCTGTGACAAAGTGTTCACAACAGATGACCCTGGATTAAGGGTAAAACTAAAAGCTAGAAATAATAAATACATGTTTTCTTTCTATCTGACAATTAGCATATTCTTCCATTATGAACAGAATACCAAGGTAGTAGGAGCCTTACCTCCTACTTTGACCACTAAATTCACAGATGTTTGCATCTCTCATTGCAGTGTAGCAGGGAGCTCAACACATCCTTTATACTCTTTGGTACTGGTTAAACCTGTATCCAGGTCTGTCTATTTAATGTGTCAAGAAACAAAATAATATATTTTAGAATTTTTGATTATTTATTGTGTTTTTATTCATTTATTGCTTTTGGAGGGCATTAGATCTTAAATCCAAACTCAAAAGTTTATTGTGATTATTGATATCAGAATTAAACCCAGTTTTTAAAAAGATATTAGCTTAGCAACAGGGCTTGACACATAAAGAACTTTTGGAGATACTTGTTTTTGAAGTGCTAAGGATTAAGCCCAGGCTTCATAATGCTAGGCAAGCCTGTTACCATTGGGTTACATCCCCAGCCCTCTACACTTGAGTAGGAAAAGTCTTCATGCTTGAAGTCTGCATGATCTTCAGCGATCCAGTAAAGTTTGATGCCAAAAACTTCAAACCACGCCTAACTGTGGTTTCAGTTTGTAGTCAGGAACTCAACATTGGCGCCCAAGTTCAACTGATAGAAAGCTCCACATAATTTCTGGACTTGGGAGGTTTATTTGTGTTTGGTTTTCTTTGTTGTTGCTTATTTTGGGAGGAGCTGAGCATTGAACCCAGGGTCTGGTTCAGGCTGTACTGTGTTCTTAACCACCAAATAAATGCATTTTAAAGAAACATAATCATGGGAAAATAGAACACTGTTACCCTTCCTTATATTTCTTTTTGGATAGGTACACACACACACACACACACACATATACATACATACACACACACACATATACATATACATACATACACACACACATACATACACTGGGGATTAAACCCAAGAGGCACTTTACCGTGGAGTACATCCCCAGCCCTTAGTTTTTTATTTTGAGACAGGGTCTCAGTAAGTTGTTGCTTCAGGCCTCTCAAATTGCTGAGGCTGGCCTTGAATTTGGTAATCCTCCTGCCTCAACCTCCCAAATCGTTGGGATTACAGGCTTGTGCCATCACCACCAGCTGGTTTTCATTTAAATATGATAAATGGAGGAGGGCTGTGGCCCTTTCTGCAGTGGGGGTTGTGGGGTGTCCCTAAGGCTCAGGGTCTGCATCCTGTTCTGGAATCTTAATGGGGTTGATTTGGAAGCAGAGGCTTGATCCTGGGGGAAGGCAGGTAAGGGCGGGACCTGACAGCCCTCATCTCTGCATCTCTTTCCCCTTCCTGCTGTCCTTGGTTTTAAATTCTCCTCCCCTCCCCCACCTTTCTTCCTCTCCTCTCCTTTCTTCAGCATTTCAACCTTTCTCTCCAGGACCCTCTTTTCTTCACTCTCTCCGTTCCTTTTCATCTTGTTTTTTGAAGGCTGGTTGCCAAGACATGGGACTGCGTCCACCTGGGACAGGCCAAAATAAAAAGAGGCACAAGGCAGGGCTCCTCACCAGGGTGCTGTGCATGATGAGGAGCTGTCTTTGCTCTTCCTGGGAAGGTTCAGTGAAAGTCACTTCAGTCTTCCCTGGAGATCACACTGTGGGGTCCGGATTAGGATCCTCACTGAAGGGTCCCAACATTGAGAGGATTTTCCTTGAAATTAGTCTTTGTTTTCCTTTGGATCTGGGGGTTTTCAATCAGTCCCTCCCTGAGGAGGGAATTCTGCTCCTGGCAGGAAACTGAGCCCTAGGAGGTGATCTGATCCTAGAACCCAAAGGCTGCTCTTGGAGGGGGTGGGAGGGCTCCTCAGCTTTTCAGATCCACCCACCACAATCCAGGTGGATGCTAATTGAAGTGTGTGGGACTCCACATCCTGCTCAGGACTGAGGATATCCCCAGCTGTGGGGTCTGATTCTCGCAGCCCGCAGACTCCCCTAACTGCCAAACAGCCCCAGAACTGAAACACAGATGCAGCTCGCCCACCCCAAGGCGCCCACAAGCGCCTTCACTCTGCTTTTATGTCAACCAATAGTTGTGATTTTCTTTGGTCCAAGTCGGGGTGATGTGATCTACAGCAATTTGGTAAAGTTTGGTGCCAAAAACTTCAAACCACGCTGAACAGTGCTTTTGCTTTGTATTCAGGAACTCAGCATTGGCACCAAAGGTCAACTCAGAGAAAGCCCCTAGTATTCTTGTGAATCCAGGGGTCCCAAGGGAGAGTGGAGGGAGAAAGGGTGCTTAATGACAAGGCAAACTTCAGCACAGGAGCTTTCTGGTAAGCATGGTTATTACTATTACTATTGAGATGTAATTCATTTATCAGAAGTCAGACTTTGAAAGTGTGCAATTCTGTGGTTTTAGTACAATCATGAGGTTGTGCCACCACCACTACTACCTTCTTTGGATTGTTTAAAGGATGTGGAGAGGAGGTCTGATGGTTGGAAGGCAGAGGCAGGAACAGTCCCCAGGGAGATTGCTTTGCAGTAATATTCTGTTGAGACAGGGTAAGGAGACAGGGCAGCCTGCTTTGACCCCAGCCTAGGAGAGATGTGACCAGAGAAATGGGGGAGAGGGTGATGCTAAACAACAGGTTGTGGCACCTGTGGGCTTTGATGGGAGTGTAGAGGTATCCTACATTACAGTCAACAGATGCAGCTGCTGTGGCTTGGCTTGGAGCATTATGGTGACAACAGGAGATAGACACAGTATTTAGGAAGAAGTCTTTGCAGGATTCTAGGATAAAGGTAGTTGAAAGTTGGTACCAAGGTAGTGACTGTTA